TGTTATGGATTGTACTATAAACATGGCTATGCATGTATCCCTGCAATATGATGTCTTTAACTATTTTGGCAAGATAGCTAGAGGGAGAATAGCTGTGTCAAATGGAAATTCTGGTTTTAGTTTTCTGAGGAGTTGCCATACCAATTCCCACTGTAGTTAAACTAGTTTACTTTCCCACCAGCAATGTAAAGGGTTTCTTTATCCCCACAGCCTCACCAGTATTTGTTATTCTTGATTTTTTTTATGATAGCTATGCTTTCTGGAGTAAGATGGAATCTCAGTGTTGTTTTACTTTGCATTTCTCTAATGGCCAAAGATGTTGAACATTTCTTCATGTACTTATTGGCCATTTGTCCTTCTTCTGAGAAGTGTCTCTTCATTTAACTCGACCATTTTTAATTGGGCGTTTTATTGTGGAAGGCCTAATTTTTTTTAGTTCATTACTTAGTCTACATATTAGTCCTGTGTTCAAGGTATTCCTGGAAAAAAATTTTGCCCATTCTATAGGTTATCTTTTCACTATATTGGTAGTTTCCTTTGCTATGCAAGAGCTTTTTAATTTGATGCAATCCCATTTGTTGATTCTTGATGTTATTTATTATGCAGTTGGCATTCTGTCCTTGCCTATGCCTCTGTCTTCAAGAGGTGTACCTATTTTATTTCCAGTAGATTAAGTATTTCTGTTTAAAATTTGATCTCTGACCCATTTTTATTTTAATTTAGTACATGGTTTTTAGTTTAGTACATAGAGATGTGGATAGACATTCAGTCTCCTGCATGTGGATAGCCAGCTTTCCCAGCACCATTTTTAAAGAGGCTATCCTTCCTCCAGCGTATGTTTTTGGTCCCTTTGCCAACAATCAGGCAGCTGACTGTGCCTGGTGTTGTTTCTGCATCTCTATCCTGTTCCATGGGTATATATGTCTGTTTTGAGGCCAATACTGTGTTGTTTGTAGCACGGTAGCTTTGTAATGTAACTTGAAGTCCAGGATTGTGATGCCTCCTGCCTTGCTTTTGCTTCTCAGGGCTGCTTCTGCTATTCTGGATCTCCTCTGGTTCCCTATGAATTTTAGGATAGTTTTCCCTAGTTCCATAAAGAATGCAGTGGATGTTTTCATTGGAATTGCTTTAAATATGTATATCAGTTTCTGAAGAAAGGCCAACTTGATAATATTGGTCCTGCCCACAAAAAAATAGGGGCAAACAATAAAAGGGGGTGTCCACTGCGAGGCTTGTCTCTATAGTCACTGGTGAAAAAAAACACGCGGAGACAGAGTCCACATCCATGCTGATTTGTCCCAGCAAGCCAGCAGTAGCTCTATGGCCGGGTAGGGGATAATCTCAGTGAGCCTGCACCTTTATTTTCCCACAGGTCAGGCTGGTTTCTGACTGTGAGGCTGAGCAAGGCCCATTCAGCCTGCTGCAGTCAGCACATCTTCTCTGGACCCGAACTCAGGTGGGAGTTGCTGGGTAGAGCCAGCAGCTGTCCTCAGTTTCAAACTCAGTTTGCCCTTTTCCAAGATGGCTCCTGGCCAATCAGTCTCTCCCATGGGATGGCCAAATCCACTGCACTCACCAGCCAGTGCAGTACATTTTGTTTTGGGATTTTTTTCATGGTTTGATCTTGTTTTTATATGAATGTGAACTTGGTTTCTATTTTTTGTGTGGCTGTTGTTCTGTTCTGTTCTTCCTTTCATTTCTTCCTTCTCTCTTTCCCTCCTGTCTTCTGCACCAGTTTCCCAAAGTTTGCATGATTTTCTTTTGTCCTCCAGCCTTGCTTCTAATCTCTTCCTCTTCCTGTGTTTCTCTATTTCTCCCCTAACCTCTTTTAAATTTTCTCCCCTGAGAGGAAAATGAGCATATTGAAGACTTGTTTACCGGATACAATTTTGTTCATTTTAGATTTTGCTATGTAACCACAAATGTAGCTCTTCCAGTTAAAGGTGGCAAACTAATGTCACCTAAGTCTGTCATTTTCTAGGCTGTGTTTGATGCTATTGTTATTGCTGATGGTACCACTATATCCAAAGTGACGTAGCTGTTCTAACCAGCTGTTCTTCCTGGTGTAACAAGACTGAGATCGCCTAAGGGTCATAGAAAATACTGTGTGCCAGTGCCAAAGAACCAGGGGCTGGGCCAAGTAGGCAACGATTTCTCATCTCCAGTAAA